GCAAGACATCCTACCAGCAGGATTGGCCGCCGCCTTGTTGCCGAAGTCGAAGATCGCGTCAGCCTGCGCCTTCATCTGCTTCTGGGGACCGAGCAGCACGAGCTCCTCCCGCAAGCCAGCTTCGAAGTCGCCGGCGCCGCTGCCCGCCGCCCACTCGTCGGCGCCCTTCATGGCGCCGATCGCGCTCGCAAGTGCGCGTGCACGATCAGTCCCAGCGGCTCCACGCCATCGCGTAGGTGCAACGCGATGTTGGTCACCAGCGAAATCCTCGTGCACTGCCCGCCCCGAGCGATCGTCATTCTCGCTCTGAGCGATGCCCTCGCACGAAGCCTTCTTGGAGCTTACCCAAACATGTGGCTATTGCACCGACTTGTATTCCGCCTCCCCACCACCCTTGCATTGCATTGTTCACATGCGTGCGTTCTTACGCCTAGCCTTTGCACCTGGCCAAGATTAGCTTGCTTTGCCAATTGGCGGTGCCATGCATGTTTCACTTGCTACGTAATCTAACGCACCACCCGAATGAAACTTATGAAATATGCAACGTTGCATCCCCGCTCCTGCCTTCTCCTGCTCCGACGCGGTGCCCCAAGCCGCGATAGTGCCCTGCAGAATCTGGTTGGACGCCATGCCGGGTTGGGAGTGGTCCGCGTAGTGAAGGCGGATGTACACGTCAAGGGCTCGAATGCGTCTCAAAGGTGTAGCCGATGCCCTTGGCAAGGTGGCAATAGGTGGGGCTTTGCTCTTCTTGACCCCTCGACGGCGCCGCGTGGTCTTGTAGGTGGCGATGGCCTGGCCAAACTTGCGCCTGATGGAATCGGTGGGCAAATGCTCCCGCATGATATCACCTCGCATGCGGAGGGAGAGTTGGCGGACCCCCTTGGCGTACGTCACTTTTGACAACGCTGCTGGCAGCAAGGCTCTGCCACGCCGCTTCGGACCATGCGTCTCCTGGCCGAGCAAGTGGCGCCGCTCGCACTTCACCGTGGTAACGTTCATGGCGACGAGAATGCCGCACAGCACCCTGTGGGCACCCTGCCATGTCGCAAGGTTCACGTTGAGAAGCCGACCCACCCACCGCAAGGTAAAAGCTGCGTCCAGACATCCATCGCATTCCCCAGCCCGTTGCCGCATGGGCTCGCATACCCGTCGTGCCAGATCATTGTTGAACACCCCGTCGTTGCACACCTCGACGATTTGAAACTTGGGCTGTTTGCAATAATACACCAACCGATGCTCGGCGTCACCCAAGCTTTCGACCAAGCCCTGGCAATGCGCCTGCTTCTGAGACGTACGAAGCCTGCTATGATCCCAAAGGTCGCACGTGAAGCTCTGCAGCAGCAACGCATAAGAACCAACCACTTGGCGCCCGCAGCTGCCAGATATGATGTCCCAATTCTTCCTCATCGGCTTCATCTGGGCATCCGTCCAACCACGCAGCGTCGAGTGATGGGGCGTTCTCGTGGCTTCCTTCGCGGCGAGGGGTAGTAGGACAGGGGGGGGGGGGGCAAGGGTGTGAGAATTATGGGCAAGGAGGGAAGGAATATGACAACCCTGTCCAATATCGCATCGGCGTTGCTCTCCTCCGCGCTGAAGGCGTTCACGAGGAAGCGCTGCGGTGGACTGGCGAAGATCACCGCCGCCTCCAACTCGATGTTCTGTTGGTCACGCTGGAATGCCTCAATCACCTTCCCAGCTTTGATGGTTCGTTTTGCACTTGCCCCGACCTCGTCTCCAACCCCGTCACGCACTGCATTCGCAACGTCAGCGTTGGCCCTATCAAGAGCAGACTGCGGATTGAGGCGGCGGGGGGCTCTGTCGAGCAGCCGATGTTGAGAACGACCCCTGTAGGCTTTGCTCGCCATCTTCTCCAAGCCCTTCCATCGGTACTCTAGCGGCGTGGTGTAGCCATGGCCAATGCTGTTTATGATGCGCCCTACCACGCCAGATAAACTACGGGGCCTGTCGCCATTGCACTTCAAAGGGCAGTCGTCACCGATGCACCAGTGGACCACCCGAGTATCTGTCCAATCACCATTATCGCCAGACAAAATTGCGCCTTCCTCAAGGGGGGTCAGGTCCATTGCTGGGCGAGGCCTGTTCATGACTTTTCGAGCGTGGGCTTGCCACGCTGCGAAGTGTTCTGGCCATTCCCGCACCTCGCGAAAATGAAAATCACTGCGCACTTCTGCTGCAAGAGCCCCGAGCAGCTTCTCGACGGATCGGACGCTCTCGAGAACATGGCCAAGCCTTGCCAACGTCGTTGTCAAGTTGCCGATGCGGTTGTAGACTGGCTTGAGTGACAAGACAACGCTGTGGCCAGCGCAGTTGATGTTCAAGACTGTATCCGCCTCACCCGTTCGTCGTCTTCGCCACCAGCTCGCAGCAGCCGAAGTTCCATCCCCACCACGCTCTGGTTGACTCCAAGATTGTCGTGAGCAAAAATACATGTCTTCCAAGCTCCCGAAGCCTCCAGCTCGTTCGCCAGCTCCCTATTCGGGTCAACCTTGTTGCCAGGTCCAGACGGAGATACAACGATCCAATCATTCATGCGTTTCCTGATGGTGTTCGAATTTGCTTGAGGGAGAACTTGGGCTGGCGTGACAACGTTTGCACCCCGAAGCCTCGGGCGGGGCCAAAAAAAAAACAACTCAAGCCGACGATGCATTCGGGGGCGGAGGCGAGGGCAAGCGTGCACGGCACGATGGCCATCACGTTATCAAGTTCCGAACTCGAGTGCCCATGATGGCAACCATGCCCAAACTACGCACGCACACCCCGCCCCCGAACGCACTATCAGGTGTGTTGTTGATTATCCCGCCAGCCGTGGCTGTAGGTGGCCGCCTGCAACCCCATGCCGAAGCTCGGGAGGTAAAGACTCAACCACGTGTACAGTTTCCACCTTGTTCAAAACTGGCATATGTATGTTAAGGCCCCTTCTCCGTTTTCGCATTTCGAATTTTTCCTATACCAGATCCTTACTTGGCCCAGCGCAGAGAATCGGAATATTTGGTTTGGCCACCCACATGCTCGCATCATCGATGACAACCGTGCCAAAGATACCATCCACGCTGCCCGATCCATGGGCCTCGGGTTGTTTGCAGAACTTGGCCAAACCAGAAGCTTGCGCTGTGACGTGCGACACAACAGCGCGGTCCAAATCCAAATTGAAATCTTTCGACCCCGATCCAGGAAGCGAAATGGGGCCATTCTCAGATAAGACACGGTGTTGCCGCTCTTGGCGATGATACTCCGTGTTTCCGAATATTGCTTGAACGCACTGGTATGCTTGTGATGGGCGCATTGTTTCCGTCAACATCTGAGATCGCGTCTGCGCAATCCGTCTAAAATGCGATGCGCGACCTAATTGTCCACGGGCTCTGTGCGGCATGGGAACGGCTCCGTCGGCGTCTGCTGCGGGAACGTGGTCGGCTCCGTCGGCGTCTGCTGGAACGTGGTCGGTTCCGTCGTCGGCGTCTGCTGGAACGTGGTCGGCTCCGTCGGCGGCGTCTGCTGGAACGTCGGTTCCGTCGGCGTCTGCTGGAACGTCGGCTCCGCCGGCGTCTGCCACTGGTGCCACTGCTGCTGGAACGTCGGCTCCCGCTCCGTCAATGGCGTCTGCTGGAACGTCGGCTCCCGCTCCGTCCACAAAATGGAAAGGCATCGTGCATATGGAGGCAGCACCAGCTGCGAATATGGAGAATATGAAGGAGATGGAAGCACGCCACAACATATCGCAGCTTGAGCCAAAATGGCTACGGAGCAACTGTTTGTTGCTGGGCTGGGGGCAACTGGGGAACGCCAGCACCATCTCCTTCCAAATTGCTTTGGGGGTTCGAAGTCGCCGCCCCCCCCCCTGCCCCCTTACCTTACCCCGCTCCCCTTCGCCCATGGAGAAGGCACCCTCCGCCTATGTCCCCTTCCCGCGAAACGGAGAAACTCCGAGCCCACCCTACCACTAGGCGTAAATCACGAAAAATCACCTGGGGGGCGTGACCGCAGGGGTAAGGGAGGAGGAACAGGACCGAATGGAAGGGAAAGGGGAGGGTCAACACGAATAATAAAAATTTGTGTTCGGGGGGGGGGAGGGACGGACAGCCACGTCGTGGCCCCCCCAACACTGTTCACAAGTCTATCGAGTTTGGCAGCGAATCAATTTACCGAAGTGCTGTTCTGAACGCGGGATGCACGCCGTGCGATTGCCATTACTAATAATACTACTTATGTGTGTGTTGCTGTGTTATCTGAACCATTAAAGTCGTGTTTGTAAAAAACCACTCCGTTAACGCCATTTTCAGACCTCTTAACCGCATAAGTACTTCCACCTGGCGAGTTGGGAATACAACCTCTCCACTCTCCCTCCCCACTCTGCCTCCTCCTGCCCCACACCCCTCCCCTCCCCGCTCCCCCTGCCCCTGTCCCTCCTCCTGCCTCCTGGCTGCCCAGCCTCGTCCTCATCCTCCGCGTCGTGCCCCGGGTCCCGTCCGACCGCCCCGGGGGAGCCGACGAGCGTCCACGGCCTGGGGGGCCCCAACGGATGGAGGCAGGCGGCGCCCACCCTCCCTCTGCGGGCACGGTTCATATCCGTGTTCACTGCGTCTTGGGCTTTCTGGGAAGGGGCACCGACAAGCCGCGGAGCAGTGGATGTGGACAAAAAGTCTGCCTTGTAAGGGCGAAGTTGCTCCATCCATATCCACGGCGCCTCTGGTAGATGAGGGAGGGAGCCCGAAACTCAAAGACGCCATGGATGTGGTTCAAAGTCTTGACCGCATCTCTGGACGATACTCCTCATGGCCCACCCAGGACCCCCCTGGGTCCGCAAACGGCAGCTAAGCAACACCACAACCACCCTTCCTGGCCAGGGCCATCTTGGGCCCTAGGATGGTGAAACCATCCTCCTGGCCTCTACGCGGAGGTCTACACCCAGAATGGCCCTTCTCAGAGATGGTGCTGTGTAGCTGTTTTCTGCGGACTCGACGTTCGGTTGGCTCGCGGCTGTCCTTTGCGGACGTCGTCGAAGCTCATCGGCTGATGCTCCCAGGAGGGCTTGACAGAGCCGTTGAACATCGAGCAGACGTCGCGCAGTCTAAGCTTCGGCTTGGCCACCCTGTAGCGGGCACCGACCTCGATGCTGCAAATGGGGGGGATGGGCCATGTAGGGACCGCAGTGATGAACCAAGAGAACAACGTAGCTTTGGATACTCGGCTCATGCCACCTACGTAAGTAAGGTGCCCCAAAATTCTTGAACCAAAGAGCCTTGCCATCTTTCGTCTCTGGCCCAGCACGGCTAGGCCCCTGTTTTCGTGGGGACAACTGCTCGCGGCGGCGACTTGCTTGCACACATTAAGTACGGGCTCAAGCCCCAAGAAGTCTGAACAATCCAAGCTTCTTTTAATCAGGCTCTTACGCCAGCCGCCTAGTCCCTCAGACGCCCTCCTCAGCCTGGAAACACCAGCAACGCTGAAACCTTGCACACGAGGGGAGGAAGGGGAATGAAAGAACTGTGCAGCGGCCTGATCACCCCAAGATTGTGCAAAATACTTGTTGGATCTGGAGGTGGCCCGAAGCCTCGTTTCGACATGTTGCTCGAGGGAACAAGGGATGTCCTTTCTCTTGGCGGAGCACGCAGGCAAAAGCGTACCGATGAGGGCAGTGAAAAAAACAACGGACTATCGTGGCGAGGGTGAACAACAAACAAGGAGGGCAACCAGGGAAACTCCTCAGGCAAAGTCGACGGCGACGGTAATACATGACCAAGCCAGTGAGAGAAGCGATCGAATAACCGAGGACAGCAAACGCGCAACGTTCAATAGAGCCACGGGGTTCACCAGGAGATTGTGGACATCCCCTGAAGCAATCCTGCGAATTGGATGGGCCCATGAATGTGACCATAATCATGCTTATTGTGCTGCTGCGTAACCATATTTGCATTCATACAAAAACCGCTCACCTGGAACAAGTGGAACAGAGGGAACCGTTTCCTCATGCGACGCAATGAAATATCCACGGGATGCTCTGTATCAAGGGGAATGCCAGAAAACAGGCGACAAGCATTACTCAGTACCCGGCGGGTTTTCTTTCAAGGATTCCGGGAAGTTGACACGCCACGAGCGGATACTAGGCGGACGACGCGGCATCGAGGAGCACCAAAGATACAGCCAGCGCGTAAATGGTATTTAAAACGACGGCTCCACCAACCCTGCAACCGACTAGTCAAAGTTTGTGCGGGTTCGTCCTCCAGGTTGTTCAATGACCAAAACGAACACAAAAAGAGTCGTTCTCACATCATATATATATATATGTATAGAGACAGCTGTATCCATGGAGATGAACATTGACTAGTAAGCGTGCGAACGCAAATTACAAAACAAAACGATATTATACCCAGCCACGAAGTACACGACATTTTTTAAGAATCAGCACCATTTCTGACCGGTGCATGTTTTACCTCCGCCGGCCTCATCTGGTCTGTCGCCAGCCTCCACTGGCTGGGTCGCCCTTGTAAGGAAGGGATGTCACCCGTTCTATCTCTTGAAGGCAAGGCCCTCCCTCTGCGACGCGGCATGGCATGTGGAGGCAAATCATAAAACAAGGTAAGGATCTGCATGGTGGGTAGCAAAATCCTTGCCACAGCGCTGCCAGCCATACCTCCTTCACTTCACATGCGCCCTTAGTCGGCGCGAACCGGCATCCTTCCTTGGATGCCCCTGGAACTCCCCGTCGCTTGCAATGCATTGCAGGGGGCCTGGGACACAGAAGTGAATACACAAATAAAAAAAAGGCCACCATATTTTCGTATATTTCCTGGGTATTTGTCTTCCCCGCCACTTCCCATATGTTCCCACATGTTCCTGGGAGTGGACGATACATTTTGTCTGTGTGTTCTTCCCCCCCCCCTGAATACACCGCTGCTCGACGCGCGCCGGCTCCCTGCCACCTGGGCATCGACCACGCGGCTCTACAGCGCCCCGCCGACTCGCACCGCTGCGGGGCCTGCACCGCGAGGGGCAGAGCCCTGGCCACATTGCGGCCGAGCAGACCTCCCCCGTGTGAGACGTGGGGCCCGGCGGGCGGACGCCACGGGCAGCCGGTTGCAAGACCCATCCCGCCGACCCCCATTTGGTCCCAACCCCAATGAAAAAAAAACAGCGTGGATCCAAACAGGTTTGACATTGCACTGCGGAGTAAGATATATACCTGGTGCAAGCTACTTGGCGCAAGCTCGGTCGTGAAAGCGGTGCGGTTCTAACTGAGGATGTGCAAGTTGGCATTCCAGAAATAGAGTGAGACAGGCTGGAAACAAGGCCTGGTGTGCGAGCGGGTAATATACACTCAGACAAAATAGGAGACGGCACGCGCACTGAGCTGAGAATGTGACATTTTTGGGGTTCCGCACTGACCACGCACCCCACTTCAATGCGAGGGGGGCGCGCGGTTTGTAGCCTCCCGCGGGACCCCACCAAGGAGCCTCCACTGAAACCAGCGCGAGCAGCGGCGATCCGCATCCACTCCTTCGATTGCCCGGCAGCGCACAGCGGCCAGGCCATTATCATGCCAGAGATGCACGGGCCGAGCCCGCGCCCCGCTCCCCGCCGCCGCTCTCCCGCCGCTCGTCGGTCACCCCCACGGGGCCAGCTCCGCCAGAAGATTACCGAGATCACTTCGCAACGTGTGGGGCCCCATTTCACCAAGCGGGCCCGCATTTTTTTGAGCTCAACGCCCGCACAACCTTGGTGAACACAACCGCTGGGAAACCGCTGCTGGCAGTGAGGGAAACCTCACTGACCGAAAGAGTACCTCCAGCAACCCCATGGGCTAGGAGGCACTGGCCACACGACGGGCGACCGCCCCGTGGCCAGAGCAAAATGAAAACAGTCCAGCGCCTGCAGCACAGGCCCAGGCCAGACACGACTCACTGCCCGAGAGCCGCCCCGCCTGCTCCCCCGAGAAGACCACCTCCGAAGCAGCGTGGCCGTGGAGCCGCGCGCGCAGGGCAGGCCTCCCCATGCTCGCGGGTATGGGCCTGCACCTCCGCCAAGCCTGGCTTGCAGCACCCCCCCTGTGGGTATCCATGTGCCTGCGCTGCTTGGAGTTGCCGGGAGCCACCACGTGGCGACCCGCTCGGAAGCACCGCGTTGGTCCGCGGTCGGTGCACCCACGACCGCGCAACCGCAGCGACCACAGTGCCAGCCGATGCTGCACTCCTCGTGGCCGCTGCACCTCCCCACCTCGCCAGGGCACTCCCCACACTCCATCGCACGGGAGCTCCGCGGGCGGCACATGGCGCAGACGTCGACCCCACCCCTGCACGCACGGAGCCGCCTGCGGGAGAAGTGCAGCGAGTCCTCGGACATCCCGCCGCCCTCCTCGTTGCCCTCCCCGTCCACGATGTCGTAGCCGACGCCGTGGTCCAGGCCGCCCTCGACGACCACCTCTAGCGCAGTCACATGGCGCTCCTGCTCTCCTGCCCGCGTCGGCCCCGCTTCATCCCCTACCGAGGACAGCGTCTCGGGCGGGCTGGCCTCGGCCTTCCGCGCGGCCGCCTCGGCCGCCGCCGCCACCGCCAGCACGCCCTCCAGGTGCGCCAGCCTGCCCCGATGGGCCCGCCAGCCGCAATGGACGGCAGCCGCCGCGCGCCCACGCCGCTCAACTGCGAGCTGCTGCTGCCGATAGGTCCCACTCGGTAGCCTCGGAAGGCGCCAGTAGCCATTGGCCGCAGCCCACTCCAGCGCGCTCCGCCTGTGCCAGCGCCACCGCCAGGTCGAGCACCACGACCTCATCGCTGACGCTCCCGCCGATGGTGCGCGCGGCGGGCGAGGTTCCCGCCTCGCCCTTCTCCTCGACGGTCAGCGCTTCCACAGGGGAGTCGTCGTCCTCGTCGCCACCGTCCACCAGCGCCTCGAAAGGCACGATGCGCCCACTGGTGCCCTCGCAGCGACGCGACGGCCGCGCCCTGGCACAGCGCCTCGGCACTCACCACTCTCCAGGAGCCGGCTGGGCCGCCTGAGCCACGGCCGCGCCGCCCCGCACTTCGCTCGGGGGCACGTACGGCTGGGCCTCGCGCCGCAGCGCTTGCCCATGCCCATGCTCGACCTCGGGTTCCTCCACCGCCGGCCGCACGAGGGCCAGGAGCTCCCGCCCTCGGCGCGCCCCAGCCGCCACGGCCGCCGCGCTCATCGAGCCCAGCACGCTCTCGACCAGCACCCCGCAGGCAGGCGCCCATGGTGCAGGGCAATTCCCAGCACCGCCGGCGGGGCCGCCCAGCAGGCTGCTCCGCAGCTGCACCAGCGCCCCTCAGCGGGCAGCGCCCGGCAGCCAGCGAGGTGGGTTCACCGCCGCCGCCATCGCCTTTTGCTCTAGGCGCCAGGCCCCGCCATCGCGGAGCCGCCCGGCACCCGGCGCCCGACCCAAAGTGGCTACGGAGCCGAGGATGTGACACTGTGCGGTGCAAGCTACATGGAGAAAGCTATGCCGTGTAACCCAGGCGGTGTGAACCAGAGGTGGACGCTATGGGGTGTGACCGATCTGTGAGATGTTACGTCAGCTACGTGGTGAAGCACATGCGGTGTCAGCGACGTGGTGCGCGCTGTGTGGTGCCAACCGCGTGGTGGAAGCTGCCGTGTCAGCTCGGAGCACGGGGCGCCTACGAGGCGCCGCATGGCGCCGCGGGGCGGCAGGGGCGGCAACGTAGCGCACTCTTGGCATACCTACCCCCCCCAGCGAACGGGCCTCCCCTGCGGCGCCCACGAGGCGCGCACATCACTGGACGCCGCGCAACCCAGCGCGCAAGCGCATGGCGGAAGCGGCTGGAACATGACGCATCGGCCCAATTACGACCCGACACGCAACTCACAAGGCAACACACCGCTCAAACAGCTGCGTACCTTGAACCACCGATTGAAATCTCGCGCAAACCACCGCACAACCCACTGCGCTAATCACCGCACAACTCAGTGAACGCCGCGTAACCCACCGCAGAACCGCATGGCGAAAACTGTTTGAACATAGCATATCAGGACTGGCACTAGTCGCTTGCATATCACCGCGCAACCGAGCACAACCCACCGCACGACCAACAGCTCCATGCGCAACGCAAAGCCTTCTGCACAACAAGCCACACAACCTACCGAATGTTCCACCACGCAGCCGCATGGCGGAAACGGCCCGAACGCATCACACCAGGATACAATTGATGACTACGCAGCCAACCACACCACGAACCCCCCCCCCGCACACCGCGCAACCACCGCGCGCGCGACTACCGCTCAACCCACCGCGCGCCCCGGCGCTCAACCCACCGGACAACCCACCGCTCAGTCTGGCGCGCCGCGCAATCCACCGAGCGACCAACCCGCCCCGAGAAACCGACTCGCAACGTCATGAAAAGTCAGACATGTCGGAAAAGGTCAGAGCACAGCGCATCTGGCCAGTAGCGAAAAACAGCCCACTGCACAAAAAAAACAGGGCTAGAATTAGGTCGGGCATGTCCCCATACGAGAGGATATTCGAAGGAAAAGTAAAACAAGTAAGAGAATGCTCAAACATATTCACAAATAGTAAAAGCGTCGACTCCAGAGTTTTTTTTATATATATATATATACACAAAGAACACAACAATGTTTGAATATTCCCCCTGCAGAGGGACACGCCCGACTCAAGGCTAGAAAGGGGGCGGAACCGGCCGACGTCTGGCATGGCGGGACCCCGGCGCACGGGGCCAGCCTTTTGCAGCCCACGACCGCCCGGAGAATCGGAGGATCGATGCTCGAGGATCGATCGATCCTCGATCCTCGATCCTCGATCCTCGATCCTCGATCGATTCTCGCTCCATCGATGCTCGATCCTCGATCCTCGATCGATCGATCCTCGATCCTCGATTCTCGATCGACTCTCGCTCCATCAGTTGCGGATCAGAGCGGGGCAGGGCGGGGGTCGTGGGCGGTCTGCGAGGCTGGGAACCGATTTTTGAAGAGAATCAGTCCGCCGCAGGCGCCGACTTCTTGTGCACACACGGGCCCGCAATTCGGGCAGCGATGCATGCGAAAACACTGTGGACGGGTCGCAGGAGGCAGGATGGAACAGAATGACTCTCAAGCTGTGATTGTGCATTCTTCCTCTGCTCGGCTCAAGAAAATGTCGGATGAATTCTAGGTTCGAGTCGGCGCGTCGCCGGGCGAGTCGCGCGGCGGGTCGTCGGTGGAACGCGGGTGGGTCGCGGGCGGGTCCAGGGGCAGCTCACGGGTGGGTCGGGGCGCGGGTGGCGGGGAGGTCGCGGGGGAAATAACAAAGGCAATCCGCACAACGGAATCTCACGTTGGCTTCAGGAACAGGGGCAATGTAAGACGGTGCGGCCCCCCACTCGGCCTTAGCAGTTGGCCTGACAAAAAGCTGGCGCAAGAGAGGGAATCATCCTTATACCCGCTTCACAAGTTCTCTCGCTTCCCGTAGCAAGGCACTCCCTGCACAACATTCCAAGTGGCGGGTGTAGAATCGCGTCGGCCCCGGAGGAGCCGCCGGGAGTCCCACAGAGTCCAAACTGTGAAGAGTGCTCCTCCAAGAGGTTGGCCTTGTCAGTCCAATAGTGTGTAGCCTGAGCCTGATGTGCGAGAGCTTACGGCAAGGAATTTTGTGCATTGCGTGTCGCGGCGGCGACGCCCCCGGCGACACGCTGTGCCTTGCAAGCGGATGGCCTGCCGCTCCTCCCCGCGGGGCGGGAGGTTTTGGGCAAGGCTCGGGGCGTGGATGCCCGGGGCGACGAACAGGGGGACAGCGTGTCGCGCCGAGGCGCGGTCGGCCCGAAGCCGCGGCGCGGCACGCGGGCCTTACATCAACGACCGCAGGCAGAGCCGAGAACGGTCGCCTCTCCGTGGCCCGCCTGGCGAGCGCTGGGCCCAACCGTGCGTGGCCTGCGTGCGTGCTCTGAGATTGGCATCCCTGGAGGCAGCTTACTCGTGAAAGACACCCCTGCGCTCAAGGGCTAACTCAACGTTTCTGACCGCTCCGCTGGGCTGGGCGAGGTACCTTCATATGCCAAGGCTGGGATGATGTCCCAACGACACCTGTGCACTGCACCAATTTCCCCTCTTCCCCTACTCTCACCCAGTCGTCTGTTGCCAAAAAAGACACTCGCTCAAGGTGATCCCAACTTTTCAAAGGATGATCAGATGGCCTCAAGAGCTACCGTCACGAAGGCCAGATGGCCCCGGAGCTCCTAAATTTCGCGAAAAGCTGAGGGCACTTTGCGCAAGGGTCAAATCAGGCCACCTCCGATAGAGCAAGTGCGGCACAAATATCCAGCCTCCGCGATGCTTACATGAACAACCCCTGTCTCCCATCCGGCACTGAGACTTCTGGCGAGGGGGAGGGAGCTCTGGACGAAACGTTTTTGTCTGTTGCTCCTTTCCTCTGGGTATGTAAAGGGCTCCCAAGTAGGGTCCGAGTGATTCTATGGAGTCGGAGGATCGCACCGCAACGCCGATGCATCGGCGATGTAACGGCGACGCTGGCGATGCATCGGCGCCGTCGACGTAGAGAACATCGCGCCCCACACCGGGTCGCATCGGCGATGCGCCGGCGATGCGGCACGCTCCTCCGACCCCATCCACTCGGACGTCATCTGGGAGGCCTGCGGTCAGAAGTTTTTGCTCAGCGTGTCGCGGCGGCGGCCCGTCGGCGCGCTGGGCCTTGCGAGTGGATAGCGTGTCGCTCCGCGCCGCTGGACGGGGTGCTCGCAAAGGCTCGGGACATCGACGCTCGGGGACTGGGCCTTGGATAACGCGTGTCGCGCCGAAGCGTGGTGGACCAAAGCAGGCGGAACGACACGCTGAGCCAGAGGTCCTGACCGCAGGGTATGGGATGGCGCCCTTCGAGTCGGCTACGCGCACGAGTGACCCTAGGCAAGAGTGACCTCTGGTGCGCGACTTTTGGTGGCCGCGGGGAGGCCAAAACCAGAGCGCGCAAGACGTGGCTATGGCACATCGTTGCTCCGTCATCTGGGTCCCCAGCTTGCCCGCACCAAAAATGTCACTCTGGCGAAAAGTCACTCTCTTGGACGCCCGATCTGGGTGCGGACAAAACACGGCACAATGCCCGACAACAAGTGCTGTCCTAAACAGGCAGCGCGCGGCCGCTGTTGGGCAGGCAGCCTTCTGTCTTATATGGACACGAGCCGCGGCGACACCGACCGCGAGCCCGGTTCAAGGTGAACAGGAACTGCGTTTGGGCGCTGCTTCAAGGAACAACGCCATAAACATACACTTTTGGCGCTCCGCGCGAATTTCTTGAATCCGCGCTGGGCCCCCCTCCCTGGCGGCGCATCCGGCGCCGAGACAAGAAATCCGTGCGGAGCGCCAAAAGATTATGTTTATGCAGTTGTGTGTTCGTCTCGGACGGACACAAGCCGCAGCGACACCGACAGCGAGCCTTGTCCAAAAGGAACAGGAACTGTCGTTGGGCATGGTACCCATACTTTCCCTACAAATTTCGCTTGCATCGAACTCTTATGTCCCCAGAAATTCGATTTTGCGATTTCTTCAATACGGGGTCCCCGGGAGTCTCGACCCGTTCCCCAGAAGGCTTTTCATCCTGAGTCGTTCTCTGACGGTCCCGGGGCCCGGCGAGGGCCCCCCGAGGCCGAAAGTGGCCACAAACCGCCCGTCTAGATTTCGGTTTACGACGCAAGCATGTCTGGGTTACGTCGAGCCGGCGGGGGGCCAGCTGGTGTTGAGCAGGGACCGACACTCCCGGCATTCCTATAGGCCTACCACGACATGTTAGATCTGATCTAAGCCATATCTGATCTAAGAGCAAGCAGCTTGAACAAACACCATGTTCTAAGAACATAACCCCGATGTGGTAAAGCACGACAGTCTCAGCCAGGAATGCTCTAAGAGCATTCCGTGAACCCCACAAAAGGCTCTTAGAACATTGCCTGGTAGGCCTATAGGCCTGCCAGGACGCCTCGCCACTGCTTGAAGCTGGTGGAGCAGCCTCCCGGGCCGGCGCGCCTCACAGGTGGAACCTCGCCGGCTCCGGCGGCGCCTTGCCGTCGCCCCCGGGGTCGCCCCCGAGGGCGGCCCAGCAGCTCCGCAGCGCCGCCAGCGAGGCGGAGGCCGCGGCGGCCGCGAAGAGCAGGCCCCGCAGGGCCGGGCGCAGGGAGGTCCTCTGCGTCGAGGCCTCCCAGATGGGGTCGGAGTAGATGGGGTCGGGAGATCGTGCCGCGTTGCCGATGCATCGGCGATGCGTCGGCGATGCATCGGCGATGCATCGGCGATGCACCGGCGATGCATCGCCGACGTCGGCGATACATACGTCGGAAACGTCGGCGTGAAGCACATCGCGCTGCACATGGAGCCGCATCGGCGATGCATCGGCGATGCGGCGCGATCCTCCGACCCCATCCACGCCGACCTCATCTAGGAGGCCCAGACTGCAATATGAGGAAGCCCAGGATTCGCCATAGGGACTGGTTCCCACACGCGCTCGCGTCGTAAACAAAACAGAACAGGACGTGCCGTTTTGGGCCATGTTCGGCCCATGGGGGGCCCTGGCCGGGCCCCGGGACCGTCAAAGACGACTTGGGATGAAAAACAGGTCCCGGGGAAAGGGGAAAGGGTCGGGACTTCCAGGGACCCCGTATGACAAAGTCAAGACGTCGCATGTCTGGGTTGGGACTGGTTCCCGCTTAAAACGACGAAGGCCCTTCGCCAACGCCCCGAACCCTCCGAAAAGCCTCCTGGTCCTACTTAGGTCGGGCGTGTCCACCTTGCAGGGGGATATTGGAGGAACCATCAAGCACATTCAAAGCATGATCCCGAATCATCAAAAATCCGCCGACCCTGTCGGCGTGTGCGAGGGGCTTGGCTGTTCGAGTCGTCGTCTCCGTCGGTCGTCGCCTCCGTCGCCCCATTTCCCTGCAGCTTCCTTCTCAAGCTCGTGAGCGAGAGAAAAATCTAGCAGTGTCGTAATCGAGTCGAAGGGAAGCCCCTTCCCTTCGATCCCTTCCCCGGGGGGGGGGGTCCCGGGGGGGGGTCCCGGGGGGGGTCCCGGGGGGGGTGGGGGGGCAGATTCGTTTTCCCTCGGGCGGCCTCGACGCCTCGAAAACACTCCAAATGAGGTCCGAATGCCCAGATGGCCCCCGAGACGGCCCAGGAGGGCCCCGAGTCGCCCAAAGATCGGCCGAAAACGCCCACGATAGCCCCAAGACCGTCCAAGAAGCCTCCAAGACGTCCCAGGCCCCCTCCAAGAGACCCCCAGGAAGCCCCAAGAGGCCCCCACGAGGCTTCCAAGCGGTCCCTGAGAGCTTCCCAGGAGGCCCACAAACTACCCCCAAGAGGCCCCCAAGAGCGCTCGTCGTCGTCGTCGTCGTCGTCGTCGCCATTCAGGGTCGGCGGCACCGGCCGTAAGGCCTTCGCAATAAGCAGTAAGTCACCTGACGAGTGTTACTATCTTTGTAGATTCCTCCTGTGGAGGGACGTGCCCGACTTATTCCTGGTCTCCCTTCCCCGAAGGTCTTCGGAAGGTTTCGGGAGGGCTTCGGCGGTTCCCACGGCTTCGACAGGCAACCAGTCCCAAGCGAACCCTGGACGTCGCATGTCTGGGTTGGGACCGGTTCCCCCCTTCAACGACGAAGACCCTTCCCCAACGACCCGGAACCCTGCGAAAAGCCTCCTCTGGTCTCCCTTCCCGGAGGGTCTCCGCAGGGTTGCGGGAGGGCCTCGGCGGCTTCGACAGGACGCTCCCTCATTCCCTCCCTCCCTCCCTCCCTCCCTCCCTCCCTCCCTCCTCCGGTCCCCAGCGAACCCTGGACCGCCCGCCTGTGGGAAGCGGCCTCCGGGGAGCGGCGCAACCGCCCTGCCGTTTGGTAGGTCGCCTCGCGTCGCGCACCACGGTGCGCGACGCGAGTCCGCATCTGCGCGCCCTCGCGCCGCCGCGCCGGAGGAGGGCGGCTCTCTCCGACATTCTGCGGCCAAAGCGGCGACGCCCGACGCGCACGAAAGACATATATATATATATATGAAAACCGATATGTATATATATATATATATATACATATGTATAGCTATATGTACACATATGTGTATATATATATATATATGGATCGTGGGGGGAAAGGGCGGAGAAGACAAAGGGCACGACCATGAGACTGTGTAATGGACACGTCCGGCATGCGCGATAACACGGACGATCTGACCATTACTCCCGACACAGACATGCGCCGTCCTGATTCTGGTCCATGCGCGGCCTCCTTTGAGTCCCGACCCCTTCCGCGGGGCCGGCGTTTCATCCTGACCAACTTTTTCACCCTGACCAACTTCATGACGGTCCCGGGGCCCGGCGAGGGCCCCCGGGGCCCGAGAACAGCAAGAAAGCTGCAGTCCTGAACTTCTTTTCCACGACGCGAGGGGGTCTAGGACAAAAGGTGCTGACCCTGGCCCCTCTTCTTGGGGTGAGTTCTGAGCATTCTTTCGATTGCGAATCCAGCAGTGGCGACGAATTTCGCCTGGAAGGCCCCCAGAAGGCGAAAACGAGGGAATGGTAGCAGTACGGGTACCTTTTTTCTGGGCGGCGAGCGGGGGGGAGACGTGCGAAGGAGAAGGCCTTCTCAGAAGGCGGCGGGACTTCTCAGAAACCTTCGCGCCGTCTGAGGGTTTTTTTGTTCGTCTCCGGGGGAGGGCTTTTGGAAAACCTCTCGGAGGGTCAGGAGACTTCCGAGACTTCTGAGACAGCCCGCCACTTCTCACTTCCCCCCTTTCTCTAGAAGAAAAACAATACTCCCAAGAGTGGCATCAAGTCGTCCTGACGCCGTGCTCCGAGGCGCCCACGTGCACCGACACGAGCTCCTCCTGGAGAGGGCGCGTCCAAATCTCCGATGATGCTACGTAGATGTTGCTCGGTCCAGCCGCTTGTTCCTAGATTTCCGGCCCCTGGGGCTCGCATCCCGGGGCCATCGAAAATCGGGGGCGCGCAAACATGGATTACCGATCCATGGAAAGGGCGCGCGGTCGCCAAATCCATGGATCGGGGGAGGTGCCCTCCCCAAAATGCGGCTGGTGCCGCCTCGTCCGGCGGCGGAAATCCGCGCTTTCCTATGGAAGCGGGACCCGTCGCCAATCCACGCCCCCTCGATCCATGCTTGCGATCGCCTGAGAACATGGGCATGGGACGAAAAACTACCCCCAGGGAGGGGTCGAGACCTTTGAACCTCGCGCGGGGCGCGGGCCGGCAAGAAAAACATACCGCCGGACGACCGGGTGGGGCGGTGCAGGCCACGTCCTCCTCGCGTTCCTGCTCCTCTTGGACGGCTCGTACTCCTCCCCCCCCCGTTTGGCGCCTCCTCCTCCTGCTCCTGGCCCGCCTCCTCCTCCGCCTGCTCCTCCTCGGCCTCCTCCTCCTTTCCTGCTCCGTCTCCCCCTCCGCCCCCTGCTGCTGCTGCGACTCCTCCTCGTACTCCTCCTCCTCCTCCTCGTACTCCTCCTCCTCCTCCTCCTCCTCCTCCTCCTCCTCCTCCTCCTCCTCCTCCTCGCCCTTCTTCTCCACCTCGTCCTGCCATTGAACATGTAAACTGGTGTTCATGGGGGGCCGTCAGTCGGCTCGCCCCCCCCCGCGAGAAAAAAAACTCGGGGCAGCGGGAGGGCATCCAGGAGGGAGGAGGGCGAGAGGGACTGGGAAGGCAGTGATGGGGGGAGGCCCCCAGGTGAAGTATTGGGATGGGGACCACGGGATAAAGGTGGGGGGAAGGTGCAACTGTATCCTCATACTGCCCAAGGGGTTATGGAACATGATATCTACCAATGGCCTGGCGCACCGTGGACGCAACGGGGCCGCAGGTTCATGGGGGTGCCATTGCTGTCTTCACGGTGCGCTTCCACCTCCGCCGTTCATATCCCCCCTCTCCTCCCCCTGCCCCTGCTAGCGCCGCCACTCCGCCTCCGTCCTCCCTCGCGGTCACCCCACCCCTCCCCCCTGATCATAATTGGCGGCGCGCTCAAGTGGGTAGGGGGAAGGGAAAGGCATCTTAGAATGAGGCTGCTTCTTAGAAGGCGCGGGCCGTACACCTGCAAACAAGGCCCGCCGCTTCTAAGTTGCAGGGGTGCTTCTGAGAAGCCTTTCGCTTCCACCTAGCCCCCTCTGCGCGTGGCCGACATAATCAGGGTGATGAACGTCCTTCCTGGTTGCATCGCCCCTCCCCCACCCCCGCCGCCTCCCTTCGGGTTCTGCCCTGCTTCTCTGGAGACCAGCGGGGGCCTCTCGAGGCTCACCACGGACCTCCCGAGGCCCACGGGCGCACAACGCAGAACTGGCTGTCAACCCTCCCGGGGGCCGCCAGCGCGGCGACCATAGTCGAGGTGGCCTTCCAAGCTCGACGGAATTCTTTGTTCCAGCCGGTTTTGCGGAAACTGCGCGGCCGCGCGGAGACGGCCTCGCAGCAGAGCCTCAGGGGCGGCCCCGCGAACACCGTCGCGAGTAATGTTCGCGCGGTCGACTTCGATCTCCAGCTGGAAGGCCGCCCGAACTGCCCAGGGAGCTGCGCAAGCGCACCGTCGCACAGGTGAGCGTTTTTTTGTATTCGGCGTTTCGACAAATTGGGGGGTGGGCAAGGGGGGGGGTGTTGGGGCCTGCGCCGATCGGCAAAACAATGAACAGAAAAACGAACACCAGAGGGACGCACGTTTCGGCGCGATGAATTCGGGGGCGGCCACGGACAGGGTCCTCATCGGCGGTCTAGACCCTGGCCGTGGCCCCCGTGATCTCTTGGTGGTCCTGCGGCAACGCATACGGGGGCGACAGGCGCCTTGCTCACAAGCCGCGCCGCGCTTCCATTTCCGCCATGCTTCGCGGCAATCGGTTCACTCGCGGGCAACGGCAGCTTCCGCGTTGCCGCCAGATTTGTGCTCGAAATGTGAGTCTGGCGCTACACGCGCGGGAGAATGCGGCACCGCTCCCACAATCCACAATCCCAGCCAGGGGAGCGGACAAGTTCCTGCGAACCCATGATTACGCCCGGGACTTCAGTCAGCGACAAAAGACCCCAATGAGCACCATTCTCCAACACACCTTCCACTTCTTCAGCCAGTGACGAACACCCAGCGTAAACCATGTACCAAAGCCAATACGTACCGAACAACCTTCGCGATTTACATCAGCGGCCCCTGAGTGGGATCCTTCCTGGGTTGGTTACCGGGCAGGTGCGCCACCTATGGATGCGAGCCGCTTCGCGCCCAGGGGGTAGAGAACCTTACAAGCGACGCTCTGCCGCTTCGCCGCCACAGACAGAGCGCCCAAGTGGCCCTTTTATGTCGGCGCTCATCCCCCAAACTCCTCACGCCGCGACGCGCGCCCCTCTCTGCGACGGTGTGCTTGCGCAGCTCCCCGGGCAATCTGGGCGGCTGTCCAGCGGGAGCGCCAGCTCGACGGGCGCGACCCTGCAGCGCGGCGCTGCTTCGGGGAACCGCCCCCAGGAGCTCTGCTGCCAGGCCGTCTCCACGTGACCGCGCAGCTGCCGCGAGACAGGTTTCAACAAGAGGCTCCCGCGGCCAAACCTGAAGGCCACCTCCACGCTGGTCGCCGCGCTGGCGGCCAGGCCGTCTGCCGGGCAGGCCCCCGGGGGAGGGCGGAGGGCCCCTCCTGCGCCGAGCGGCCCTCAAGGGCCGGGAGCGGTCTGCTGGCAGGGAGCAGTTGAGAGACGCCCAGGGGCCTCCAGAGGAGCCAAGCGGGAGAGGGCACTGGGTGGCGGCGGGGGGGGGGGATGTCTGGAGGGAGGGTTCGCCATCGCTCGGACGTCCATTCCTCGTGTATGTTTCGATGTCGTGCGTGTTTTTTTTTTTTTGCCAAATGATCAAGGATGGTCCTCGATGGTTCTCGCCGAGAATCAATGCACAAGTCCGAGCGATGCCAAGAGGGTGGCAAATGCCCCCACTACGCTCAGGAGGCCGAGCGGGGCGACCGCCAGCGCAGGATGGGGGAGCGACGGCGCGAGCGACCGGGGGGGTGCGGGGGA